GGCAATGTTGCAATGCTGGAAAAAATGTGAACTTAACCTCTGTCCTGAACATTAACTGAACTCATATATACCTCTCCTTCCCCTTGACCTTAAGTAGCTTAGCAGCAATACATGCGAAAGCACAATAAAGGTTCATTAGCAAGAAACTAGGGTCACCTTACTCTTCAGCAAAGCTCTCACCAAGGAAGAGCAAGGAAGGATGTATAATAAAATGAAAAATGAAGGTGGTGCCAGGAGGGTGATGATTCTAATTAGTAATGGGAAAAAATAAGAGATGAGTCTTGGGTATATAAAGGCTTGGTGATAAAACATGGTCAAATTCTGGCTTTCAAAGAATGAGGAAGGTGTGTCTTTGTTCCTTAGCAATTGTCTGCTACTATTTTCCATTCTCAAGTGGACTTACATTTATGCTGGTGTCCTGTTACAGTGCTCAGCACTGTGAGCATCCCTTCACTGCTGCTTCTGAGTGGGCAAGCAGGTCCTCCTGCTTCACTAAGAAAACATGGAGATCCAGAGGCTTTTACAGAGGGGAGGGGACAGAGTGGCTTATAGTTTGATTACACTATTGCTTTGCAACACGTACCAAGGAAGAGATCACACGGAACAAGAATTAATGTGTTTATTTCTCCCCAATGAGGTGACTGCTACCTGGATGGCAAACAATGAGAAAAGTCTAGTACAGAATAATTAGTAAAACCTGAGGATGACCCTGTCAGTGCCCTAGTCCGATTCAGAATTACAAACACAATCTCACTCAGGAATGCACATTCACCCACGGGAGAGAGGTGCATCAAGGAACTCAACCCCCCCACCCCACCCCCCTCACTGTGATATTTTATCAAGTTGGCAGATGAGGAACTTACATGAAGTCTTAGAAAGTTGAGCGTGCCCAGGTAAAAAGAAATGTACTTAAGAACCTGAAGACTTACTAGACTCAGTTGCCACTAGAATTCCTTGCCTCTGGGTTCTGCTTCTACTCATTCAGAACTCACAGAAATGTCACCTCCTCTGTAAAGTCTCCTAGACCCCCAACTCCTAAACTGAATCCTTAATGTTTACACAGAACTATACTTGTTCTACTTCTTCTTAGGATTTGGAAACTACACCATAATCTTCTCTGTATGTGCCTTTCCTGGAAGCTTCTAGAAGGCAGGAATAAGACCTGTCCACCTCTGCTATGCAGGTGCCCAGCACAGTGCTTGATACAGTGCTTAAGTAGGCTCTCAAAAAAGTTCTGCTCAAGGAGGAATGGACGGATTCCTTTCACGGACTTCTATCATTTGACCTCATCTCTCCCATCGTTAAACTCATGTAGACAGGTGCTGATTTGGAATGTCCTTTGGTCTGAAGGTTTTTAAGTTCCATTCCGTCTGAGTCTGAGGAAAGTGCATGGACTCCCATGTGTCTGGTCAGAAGGCGACCTCTCTTTTATCAGACTGTATAACAATTTGTCAAGCTTCCAAGGGCTCTGGCACAGCTTGCAGGTCTCTGATCTCAGCAGATGCACTGGCAGATGTTTCTGTTTTTGCCTTGTGCCTTGAGCTAGTACTCAACCTGTTCAGGGCCTTGGTTTTGATACGCTCCACAACTGGTTTCTCTGCATTCTTTCAGTTACCAAGGCAACAAAGCTACTTTCCAGATTGACCAAATGTTCCCCGTTACTGTCTCCAGGAAACAATTTCTAATAAATTATCATTACAATGAAAGTCGATAAGTTTACTGATTACAATGATGGATGACACTCTACTAATAAAAGCTGAAGACTGTGAAGCTGCAATCTAGTTTCTTACCTGGAAGAAAATGATGTTTGTTTATATATAAATATATATGTATGCAAAAACATTTCAAAACCATATTCTACTCAATCTTAGAAAAATTTCTTAGTACATGTTTAACTCAAGAAAATCGTGATTCTTCCTGATTAACTTTCAAAAGTTGGGAGGCAGACAGAATGAAAAAACTGAAGCTAGTAATCTGACTTATGTGACCCTTGATAAAGGTAATTCATTTACCAGGACCCACAAAATGGAGGCCGCCCCAGTGGCTTGGCCCACAAATCTAAATCTAAGTCAGCCTGCACTTCACTATCAAGGAAAGCACCTCACTGTCAAGGAAACCTAAAACACACCAAACAGTCCTTCGACTCAGCTTCACCTAGCCCACCTTGCCCTAGAAAATTGGACCTGTTAGCCTTATGAGGAAACCCCAGACCTCCTAGCCAGTCATGCCCTATTTCCCCCAGTTGCCGCTTATAACGCTCTATAAAACTCGCTCTTGCCCAGAATCCCTCGGTAAGAGCGGTCCACTGTTGTCCGCTGTACTCCCCTAATCCACGGATTGTTCTCCCTTAAGTAAAGGACATCACATTCATTACTAAATTGCATTATTTTTGTCATTTAACAGGCAAAAGCATTGAAATGCTTACAGATGAAAAGTCCCCCAAGAAGTACAACTTGGAAATTCCAGGCCTTTTGAATACTGAGCCTAGCATAGCCTCCCTGAAAAAGATAAGAGATTCATGCAAGGAAACTAGGTAAAACCCAACTCCCTCCACCAATTACCTCCAGTGTAAAGTTTAAGATCCTCTGCTCATGGAGGTACACACGACTCTCAGGACCCTTGAAGAGCTTAACTTCTTTTCTCCCCAGTCTTGTCTCAGACTGTTTCTCCCTGCTGCCCACATGATGTATATACCAGTCACACCCAAATGTTTGCTAGTCCTCAAATATTCCAGGCACTTGCACTTCACTATGCCTCTATGCAGTCTATCCCCTAGAATGCCTTACCCTGCTTATCAGCTCTTCAAACTTCCAGACCCATCAAATGTCACCTCCTCCAGTAAGCTTTCTTTTGCTCTCCTAAGAGGACTTACTTTCTGCTCTGTATTCCCATGGCATATAGCTCATCTTTCTATTATAGAACTTCTCTCGCTAGAGTAAAATTATCTGTTTATGTGTTTATCTCCCCACTTTGGAATCCTTGAGGAGTAAAAGCTGTGGCTTCTTGATCTACCCTTAGAATGTGGGAATAACGTTACCTGGTGTTTGCTGAATGAATGAATGAACTAAATACTAAAAAATCCAAATCATGTTGAGTGTTCACTATCTGCAGAGCAACAGAAAACGTTTATATGACAATCAGCTTTTTCCCTAAACTTATACAAATTACATCGTTGCTGAACAGTTTAAAAACTAGCAATTTCAATCTGCTCACAGCTGAGATGACCTACTCAATGTCACAGGTAAAAATACGCATGGACGTCCCCTTTACTGTCCACTTCATATTTTAAAGGAGTAAAAATTTCTGCAACACCAAAAGTAAGAAGCAAGTTGCATTTGCTTTCTTAATCTTCCAGTGCTGTCAGCCAGAGGGTAAAAGTGAGGGAGCGTGAGGGGAAGAAATTCCTTTTAAAGTAGAACAACCAATATTTGCTGGACTTGTTTCACAGAACATTTAGATGCTCTGGCTCAAATAAGGTGAACAGTAGCACAGAACTTTTTGAGGGTTAAGAGTTTAAGAGAGTGCTGAGCGTATAGTAAGTTTCAATAAACAATAACTGTTTTTAGTTACTGAACATATAGACTCTCCCAATAAATTTCATTAATATACAGCTAGTAAGAAGAAAACAAGCCAGAGAATGAGAGGGTAAGTGGGAAGAAAGCAATCAGGAAACTTCACAAATGGCACTACATTTAAGATGTGGCGCAGTGGGTAAGAATCCGCCTACCAATGCAGGGGACACGGGTTTGAGCCCTGGTCCGGGAAGATCCCACATGCTGTGGAACAACTAAGCCCAAGCACCATAACTACGGAGCCTGCGCTCTAGAGCCCACGCGCCTAGAGCCCGAGCTCCACAAGAAGAGAAGCCACCGCAATGAGAAGCCCACGCACCGCAACGAAGAGTAGCCCCTGCTCACCCCAACTAGAAAAAGCCCGTGCGTAGCAACGAAGACCCAACGCAGCCAAAAATAAATAAATAAAAATTTTAAAAAAAGATATTACCAAATGGGCACTTCTCCAGTTGTAAGACTGTAGTGAGCTCTAAGATTACAAATGATTTTTTTCATCTGCTGAGCATATTTTATTTATGTACAAGGGCCTTGAAACTGTTAGGATTTGAGGTTTATAAATTACTCCAAGTTTCACACCAAAAGAATTTCCCACCATAAACTGATATTCCCAGCTGTTGGAAGACTGTTGATGGGCTCAAGAAAACTGAAGAAGAAGGAATGAAGCCAGATAAAGGGAGAAATGGCTCTCACTGTGGCAAAGGGAAGGGCCTATTTATGGAGACCCATGATAACTGTCCCTCTCACAGAACAACATGCCAAGTACACTACCACTCACAGCTCTCCTTGGCTTCCTTCCAGGGGAGCGACTACTGTGGAGCCATCGCATATACCAGAGTCCAGTAAGGATCGCCCTTTCAACCTTGCTCCCCTGCACAAAATACACGGTCCCAAAAGAAGTCCTTTTCGGACAAGTTGAGCTCAGATTTCCTGAAGTATCTCAATGTTCCTTACTTAGAACAATATGCATAATATGTGAAGAAACCTTCTGCTAAAGTTTCCCTAAACTTTAGACACGAAAAAAATAACAGGAGAGGAATCATTAAGCTGAAAGAGACTTTAGCAGTATATTCACTTTCCCTACTTCCAAAGAAGATAAGCGTAGCAAAAGGTAACTCAATTATAATTTTAAAACTGTCATTAGACATCATATACAGTAAAGCTCTAAGCTGGGTGGTAGGGAGAACACAGGAATAAATCAAACACAGTCTCTGCCTAGAGAATAAAATGCTAGACAGACTTAAAAGACCTAGATTCTAATCCTAAATTAGCCTCTGATTAGTTTATGTCCTCACAATGTGTCTCCATTTTCCAACTAGAAAAGTGCTTAGTTATAGAGCTTGGATATTAAAATTTTTTAAATATAATTATTAATCATCGACCTTTTTCTAAGAACCTAAAACTTCTGGAAGGTTCCTCTGAGGCAAGAATGAGGAAAGCATGGGCCTTAGAGTCAGAAAGACTTGGGTTTAAATTCTATTTCTGCCACTTCACTATCAGTGTGACTTTAACATGGAGAGCCTCCATTTCCTCACGTGTAAAATGGAGAGAATGCTTCAAAGTACTGTTGTGTGTGTGTGTGTGTGTGTGTGTGTGTGTACACGACTATCCACCTACCTATCTACAGACAACTAGACGCTTAGTATTCACTCAATAGGTGGCAGATGCTATTATTTTTATGGACACCACTAATAATATCTTTACTGTCCGAACACTGAAAACCATGGGTAACACCATCCGACCACAGGAGGGTTAACATGAATGATTCGAAGTGAGGAACAAAAATAAAATTTACCAAGGCCAGGTCTATTACCAGGCATGCATGAAACATCAGAGCCCATATGAACCCATAAGGGGTTACCCTGCCTAGTTCCCTATCACAAATCCAGGCACTCCCCATTCCACTCAGTCCCCTGCCTCAGAGCCCAGGCTTGCCTAAAGCTCTGCATCTGCACATTCGCCTGCTTTCTGAACATCTCTGAATAAGCATTATTAGAAACATACAAGATCTTGGGAATTCCCTGGCAGTCCAGTGGTTAGGACTCCACACTTTCACTGCCGAGGGTGGGGGTTCAATCCCTAGTCAGGCAACTAAGACCCCACAAGCCGTGAGGCCAAAGAAAAGAGAAGAAATATACAAGATCTGCACAAAGAAAGCACCAGCGAGGGACTAAGACACGTAAACCTGAACATGTGATGTTACTGAATATGGCATGTATTACATGTTGGACAGAAAAACTCAACATATGCAACAACTCTCCCTAGGGTAATCTATATTTAACGTGATTTCAAGAACAAGACTGACTGGATTTTTCCCCCACAAACCTATGAGCCAATTGTCAAGTTTATATAAAATAATAAACAAGCAAGAATAGTCAAGAAGACTCTGAAAAATAGGGTGACATGTGGGGCTAGACCTATTAGATATTAAAATATATTATTAAGCCACATTGTGTTACTTAGAGCATGACAAAGGTGGCATTTCAGAGGGAGACAATATACAAATATAGTGAGACAACCAAGTAATCATATCGCATATTTCATAAACAAAATACACACACACACACACACACAGAAACAAATAAGCAAATTCTAGACTGATCAAAGATTAAAAATGTGAAAAATTTAAAACATTTTTATAAACTCAGAGCAGGGATGGCTTTTATAAACTGGATAATAAAGGAAGTCATTTAAGAAGTAAAACACAAAATACATTTATACCAAGTAATAATTTTTTACCTATCAGATTGGCACACCTCAACAAAAAAGAAAAACCACACTAGTAGGAGAAAGTACAGGGAAATAGGTACTGGTCTATGCTCAGGGTGGGAGTATAGTTCTGGTGCATCTCTGTGCCCCTATGAGGAACAATTTGGCAACACCTATCAAAAAGATAAACATATATTCTTCAAATCAGAGGTTCTAACCCAGAGCCCCTTTTTATTATACAGATGTATTTGTATAAGTATGTATGTACGTAAGTATGACATTCTGTATATACAAGATTAGTTTACGCACCTTGTTTCTAATAGAAAAAAAAAGGAAAACACCTGAACATCCATCAATAAAGAAGTGGTAAAATACATTAGGGTATCTCCATACAGTGAAATACTATACAGCTATTTAAAAAGACTGAGGCCCCTTTCTTTGTACTGATTTGTAAAGAGCTCTAAAATAACTAGGTTTACAAATCAAGGTACACATCAGTATGCATGATATGTCTCACTTTTATAAAATCAGGAAATATATATATCATTGATTCTTTATGCGTAAATTGTCTGAAAGGACGTGTAAGACATTGTTAACACTGGTTGCTGGAGAGGGAAATGTGGATGGGGGTTAACAGGGGGAGGCAGACTTACATTTTACTGCATATCCCGTTCTACCATGTGAATGTATTAACCTATTCAAAAGTTAATTTTTGAAAATTATAATTTTACCTACCAAAATAAAAAAAGTATAGATTGTTCTTAGGGAAGGGGTGTGATAGAATTTAGAGAAGATATTTTGTCCAACATACATCACTCCCTCCTCAGCCACTCTACAAGGCTACTCCTAACACATGTCGCTGAGGGTGGCCTGGTCAAGGTAGGAGCCCAAAAGTTCTACAGCACCTGGCTTGCCTCCTCAAGAATCAGAATAAATCCTCTTCCTACATTTTTCAGTAATACTGAGCTAAAAGAGATGCCTAAGTTTCAGAAAACTTACATGTTATCCTTTAATTACCACTGAAACCAAAGAACTGGTCTAGAACCTGAAACTAATGAACTGGAGAGAGGGCTGGGAATCTTAATGAAAGCTGGAAAGCACTTTACATACAACATCATTTTCTGCCTTGGCAACAGGGTAGCTAATGGAAGATAAAAACGGAAAAGATCAGAATGTCTTATGCAAATAATAGCTTCTAGCATTCTCTACTCACACGACACACGTTCCTTACCGGGTACATATTCATGCATAGCACAAGCTTTACCCAAAACAAGTCCATACCATGCAGAACACCATCTCATGATGAAGCCTCTCCAAAAGCCTAACTGGCTACACCAAGGCCAACCAGTGTTTTTTCATTTCTGGAGTTAGTAGCTGCATCATGCAAGCTGGGAAACAGTGATTAAGTAATAGCATCATTTGCAGGCTGTGAACAACCTCAAAGGCCATGATTAGATGTATACTTTTCAGGGGAAAAAAAACCCTTAACATTTCTAAATCTTAAAGGAATCATCATCTTCTCAGTCTCCTCTCAATTACTTCACTGATTAGAGGCAAAAAGGGCAAAATTATGAGGAATCCTATATGGGCAAGTTTTACAGACTTGCCCATGGATATGGACTATGTTTCATGGACATAGGCTATGTCCAAACTCTAACCCCTGTGAAACTGTGGGCCAATGGCTGTAAGCAACAAACTGCTAAAAGATAGAGCTGCATCACTGAGAGATCATTTCCCACTTCTAGAAACACAAATAAAGTCTGTGCTTACCAATCTGGGTGGAGGCTACCATAAGGGGTTCATTTTCATTCAATCCAAAAGCAATTTGGATATTTAGTCCCACCAGCACAAGTTACATATGTATACTGGAAAAAAAAAAAATCCCACACACACAGCTGGACATGAAATGTTTTCTTTCCTCTTGTGAATCCTTATACAAAATAATGATATGATTAAAATTCGGCTGTAAACTTTACACATAGGAGGCACACTTTTTTTTTTTTTTAATTTAAGAATATCGTGGATGGTGATAGGCTTTCTGCTAAACAATTTATTGTTTGAAATTCAACTTCCCCTGAAAGTCAAGGTTCAGTGCTGGGTAAAAAGGCATGCAACCAAGTCACCAGCCTCCCAAGCTGGACACAAGGCATGCCTTCGCTGCAGAAAACACATAATTAGCAGTTACAGGTCTACATGCCAACAAACCAATGGTTAACAAGAATGATTAGAGTCTGGATGGAACCAAAGCACAAGCTCTTTGCCTTTCTGATGCTGACCAAAAGCCACAAGCACACACATTTCCCCACGGCAGGTTCATACCACTGAACTTGAGTTGCTTGGATCGCTCTCGTTCCTGGACTGTAGATTTTGGTAAAAGTGGAGTGAGTCCTCGGGACTTGGTGGGTCTCATGTAGCCTTTCATGGGTTCTGCCGCTCTGCTTTTATCTTCCTTCTTCCCTTGTCCCAGTGCCTTCCGTTCAGATTTTTCTGTCATTTTCTCAGGTGCCTCCAAGATCTTGTCTTTGGGTTCTGGGAGTTGAAGAGCCTTGGAAGCAGTCACTACTAACTCATCTACCACACTTGAAGGAGTCACTTCAACTTTGCCATCTAAGACACCTGACTGGAGTTCTGGTGGTGCCAAGGAAACACATGCCATTTCTCTGCTTTCAGAATCCAGACTGATTTCTTCCAATTTATCCTTTTCACTTTCTGGTGGCAAAAGAGTCGTATCTACCTCCTTATTCAAACTATCTGGGCCCTGGGAATCTCTATTTTCAGCACGTTGGTCCTCACAGAAACTGGGCTTTTGTGCTTTGTCTCCCATTAGGTCAAGAATTGGAACTGGAGCAGAACCTTCCTCAGACTCTTTCTGTTTGTTTACTGGACATGTTGGAAAATTACTGCTATCTGCACATGCTTCTAGGACTCTGACCCCACCTGCCAGGCTTTGTTCTTCTATGAGCACGCCAGAAAGAAGGTGGCCCCCTGCTGGCTCTGTGGTTTTCTCTACTGAGTGCTTTGATGCACCACTGGGCACTGACTCAGATTCTCCTATCACATGCCCTCCGTCTATCCCTGCTTCGTTTTTCATGGGACCAGCAAGCTCACCTTTATTCTGAAGACAGCTAACTCCATGGTTATTAACTGTTTCTATGGCTGCTGTCAGAGTTAGGGCAACTCCTCCTGTGCTCGTAGAGGGCATAACAGCACAGGGGGCCTTGGGTCTTTCTTCATCTGGGACTCCAACTTTGCTGCAATTATCTACCTCTAATAATTTGGAAATCTGGGCTGGAGCTGTCTCTTGCCCGCTTTCTGCCAAGGTGTCTGGAAATGAATCACTTTCCTTTACTACTTGAAAAGTAGAAGGGGGCAGTTTTTCACAGGCTGCTGATTCCTGAGCCTCTAGGGGGACTGTCTTATTCATCAACCCTGGTGGTGTTCTAGGGCAGGTAAATGTAATATTTCTATTTTCATCCACATAGCCCATTCCTTCAATTCTGTGGTCCCCTATGGTTTCCATGGGAACATGTATTTTTGTTGCATCTATCTTATTCTCCAGAATGTGCTTCTCAGGGAAACTATTTTTAACCTTTTTGCTTTTTCCATCATTACTCCTTTTATTTGGTTTGTCAGCAACTGCAGTATGTCTCTTGGCCACATCTGTCTTATTCTCCTCAGACGGTACTGAAGGAACAAATCCTGCCCCCTGGATTTGGTCTTGGCAGCTCACATCTGTCACCTTGGTAGCTGGTTCAGTAACAGCAAAATCCTTGCCTGCGCTTGTTTTGTTCCTGCCAAGAGCCCCAAGCTTAGAAGAATTAACCTCAACATTTCTACCATTTTGGTCAACTCCTTCCACTGTGGGTGTATCTGATATACGTGAGAACAAAGGGTCATGATTTATGGGGAAAGTAAGTTCTAATTCTCTGTTTTGATGGGGAGTACTACCAATATTCCCACGCTTCCCTACAAAAGGTGGGTTGAGGATTTCTTCCTTCCTCTCCATTCTAGCAGGCTGTGTGGAATAACTATTTTTAAACTTTTTGTTTTTGTCTTCACTGCCTCTTTTTGTAGGCTTTTCAGAAATCCAGGGAGCTGCCTCATGATCCATCCAAGGACATTTTTCCTCCTCGCTCTGGTTGCTGACACGCATGCCTATGGCTACAGCTCCTCCTTCTGTTCTAGCACCGGAAGTCTGAATCATGCCTGACCCATTTCCCAAAGGAATCAACACCTGCAAGGTGCCTGCCACCCTCAGGTCAGTCATCTCCTTAGGGTCCCGCATCACCACTGCCTCAGTGAGCTCAGCCACGGTCCCTGGTTGCTCTGAAGAACCCAGCCCCAGCTCCTCGCTTTTATCCATTCTTTCCATTTTAGGCGCTGGCTCACTTGGCACAAGAACAGCTCTGCTGTCCTTCTGGCTGTCCGCAAGCCACAGCAGCTCAGACCTTGCTCTCACCTTCCCAGAACTTGCTCTCATCTTCCCAGAACTTCCCTTTCCCTTCCTGCTTTTGCCATCACCTGCCATTCTCTTAAATGGTTCATTCCCTAGTCCAGGAACCTGAGCTAACACCGTGTCCTGTGGCTGCTCAGAAGCAAAGATGCTGTTCTCCTGTCTTTCCTTGGGAATACTTTCCTTTTTTAGTTCTTTAACCTCTTCAGCTCCCTCAGAAAACTCTTTCTGTTTGTCATTCTGCAATTTAGTCATTTTACTTTCATCACTTCCTTCTTTTAGACTACTTACTAATGGATTACCTGCTGTCAAAGTGGGTATGGAATTAGGCAGTTCTTTTGCTGCTTTGGGTTTTGAAACTCTACCCTCAGCCTCTTGGTCCAAGACAGGAGAGCAACACTCTTTGGGTCTGATCTCCAAAGGAATTTCTACTTTGTGTGAAAAAACTTCTGTCAGGGGTCCTTTCAGATTGAGGGAGCCTACTGTCTGGCTTTTATCCACAGGAGTCTCGAGGTAGGGTGCAGGCTGTGGTTTGCACTCATCTTGCTGCAGCAATTTCTTGTCTTGGCTCTGTGGTGCTGACTTGTTACCTCTCACCTCTGCCTCTACTCTCAGTTTGGGCTGAGAATTTACTGCAGTTTTCGGGGGTTCTTCCAAAGGACACAAAGGAATGCTGAGACCCTCGGAGACAAAGTTCTCAGCTACCAGTTTGGCTGCTCTGGAATCAATTTCACATCCCTTTTTCAAGTTTTCTCTGGATACCAGTCCATGTTCTGTGCCCACAGTGGTAGGCTGGCTGGGGGGAACACCTGACTTTTGTGGGTCAGTGGCAGAGGGATGACCTTTAGGCTCATCTGCATTGTCATCACCCCAAGGTCCCCCAACCCGGGGCTGAGAGTATCTCTTTTGCTTTGGTTTCTTCTTTTTTTTCTTCATCATCATTGGTGTTCTTTCTATATCCCAGGACTCCCTGCCAAGATCCCTCTGGGGTTCAAGGAAGTCACCATGAATAGTTTTCCTCTGGTTCCCAGGCTCACCACAGGAAGACGAACCAGAAACCCAACCCAACTCAGACAAAGGGCAGGGGCCCAGCCCAGGATCAAGAGTCTTCCGTGGAGAAGAGCCTCCCAGCAGCTCAGGAGGGACCCTGGCAAGCCTGGGCCGGGCGGGCCGGGCGGACCTGCGATCACTGGGTCTGCACGCTTTTTTGGCTTGTGTGGGAAGGGTACCTGCAATACATGAAGTTGGCCAAAATTCCAAACAGAAAACCCCTTGTTATTGTTTCTTTAAGAAAGTGTCCATTTAGTGACTCATTTAAGTAGTCTATTTTCACCAACCCACATACTGATTCATTTAGGAAAACAGTTTTTTTCCAAAACATTTCTCACTCTTAACTGGGATTAGTAAATATTTAACAAAAATCAAAGATCATCATCTTGGGTAAAGACTTTTTTTTACAAAATGTATTTACAAAATATTCAAAACTTGATAAAAGAAATTCAAACAGTGATCTTCTAATCTGTATAATAAGCACCTACTGCCTATAAATCTCCTCTGATACTTATTTATATGTTATTATTTTTAATAGGTACATAATTCCCAGGATAGTAACAAGATGGTAAGCTCCTCTTTTTGGTGACATTGATTAACTGGTTGAATGAAATATGTATGATTTTACAATTCTAAGAGTCTGTCACCAATATTATACTAATTACTTATCAGTATTATACCGATTACTTGTTAAACAGACCAGAAGGACAGAATTATACTACTTTTAAAAAAAAAAAGAAATAGAAAAAGAAAAGATACTGAATTAGTATTTTGTCCAGAGAACAAGTCACATTATTTCAGAACCAGAGCCTCCTACTTTAAAACACAAATGTGCTAGATTTCAATGTTCTGTTGCTAAAGGTATTTCCCAAAAGACAGAGATATATACATAATGCCAAGTATAGGATAATGAGTTAAAACAATTAGGATGAGCACCCTTGGAAAAGTTTCAGGAAGTCAATTAGTCCAACCTCCTGCCTCTAAGTCAATGAATGCAGTATGGATCCAAGATCCTGGAAAGAGACCCGGTGAGAGCAGGTCTAGGACAACTCTTGGCAAGTTTGATGCAATAAATGACCTCACAGAATATTAAAATATTCAAATAGTGACTTTTGTCCTTATCTTTATCCCTCCAATGTCCTCCAAATCCTACCCTTTACTTAATACCTCAGGCCAATTATTGTTTTTCCTGAAAAATTGCTAGGCTTTAGCAACCCACAGCATTTATAACATTTAACTTGGCAATTAATCAGCAGCTATTTGGTGCCATATCTAATACTATTTAATTCAATTATTATATAAATCTTTGGTTTCAGAGTTCATGCCTGGGAACTTCTCTCACCATCCAGGCTGGGAAAGGACCAGGACCCAGGCCTAAGTATCTGTGTGCCTTAGCATGGTGTATACACAATAAGGACTTGAGAAATCTTTAATGATATGTTGAGTCACTAAAACAACATTTTAAAAATCATACATTTATTTAGCTCCCACTTGGTGCCAGACAGTGTTCAAAGCAGTAGAGATTCCAAGTGTAGCAAATCTTGGTCCCTGCCCTGAAGTTCACGATCTCACCACAATCACAGAAAAGGAGGCAGAGAATCACTAAGTTGATAATCACGTGCACGTGCTTCTGGCTTACCATCAAAAATGTGTAAAGCTCACTGAAATCTGTTTAAGAAAGAGAGCTGACTTCGTAAACTGTCCTGCTGATCACCACCTTATAACCAGGAACAATGTCTTCCACCATCTCCCCATTTTTCCCAGTTTAAGCGTTTTCAAACAGGCCACTTTGTTTTCCTGACATACCTGAGGTCTCTGAAGGAAGTTCAGAAGGTTGACTACTGAACGGTTTCTTTTGCTCTAGTTCCTCTGACACAGAATCCTCATCTGTTGGCAAGTTGTGCTTTTGGCCCATGGCTGTGACTGCTTCTAAAGGTAAAAGTAAAAACCACACAGGTTTCAGAGAAGCACCATTTCAGCTACTTCTCCACCTTCCAGAAATTGGAAATGGACACAGTTTTTGAGGAATGAGGGACGCTCCTATGAGGGCAGGAGAGAAATGGAGTGGCAGTTGGAATGGGGAGGGAAGGGGGAGTTGGGAGGGTTGGGTTTTTTTTTAAAAAGAAGGGGAAAATAACAAATGTTTTTACGGTGGTGGGAATGATCCAATGTAAAGGGGGAAAAACATGGTGAGAGGCAAGAAAAGAGAATGGCCAGGGCAATGTGTGTAAGTAGACAAGAGAAGACGGGATCTAGTGCAAGACAAAGATGCTGCCCCTCATGACTAGGAGCAGGGACTGTTTGCTGATGGCAACAGCAGGGAAGGCAGAGTCTATGGATAAAGATACAAGTAGTTAGGTAGACGAGCGAGTGGAAGTTTGTGAATGTTCTCTTTTATTGCTTCAATCATCTATAAGAAAAACAGGAAGATGAGCAGAGAACAAGGATGGAGAAGGTGTTGGCGGTTGGAGGAGGGCAAAGGTAAGAAAGAACTGTTTAGGGGAGCAGGAATGTGTTTAGACTGGCGAAGTACAGTGTGACTGTCTTTATTTTACCTGGCATGACGTTTGTCCCTTACCCTTCTGGAGACTACACCCTTGTAGACAAATACTGCAAGTAAGCGTAAGCCCATACCTGCTGATATCATGAGAGGAGGTACAGCTGACTGTCCTTCATCCTGGAGAGATTCTAACTGGGAATCCTCACTTGTTTCTTCCTGTGTCCGTGCAGTTTCCATGTCCTTAACAGGAACTGGTGCCACCTCTGCTTCTGAGGATGCTGCAACAACCTTGGCTGGAGCCACATTGTTGGCCAGGGTCACCTCCGTTTGTAGGGGTAGAGCCACATTCTTGCCCAGGACCATCTCTGTTTCTGGAGATGAAACCACGTCCTTGCCCAGGGCCACCTCTGTTTCTTGAGGTGGAGCCACGTCCTTGCTCAGGGTCATCTCTACTTCTGGGGGTGGAGCCATGTCCTTGGCTGGGGTGACTTCTGTTTCTGGAGGTGCAACCATGTCCTTGACTAGGGCCACCTCTGTTTCTGGGGGTAGTACCATATCCCCAGTAAGGGCCACCTCTGTTTCTGAGGACAGGGCTACCTCCTTGGCTGAGGATATTTCTGTGGATGACACAACGTCCTCATCCAGTGGCACCTCTATTTCTGAAAGTGATGCTACACCCTTGGGTGGGGCCACCTCTCGGTCTGTAGGTGGTACCATGCCCTCAGCTGGGGCCAAATCCATTTTTACAGGTGGTGTCCTCTCTGTTTCTTTGAATAGTAGTATGTCCTTGGCTGGGGTTACCTCTGTTTCTGTGGGCAGTACCATGTCCTTGGCCAAAGACACATCTGTTTCTGTGGGCAATACATTGTCCTTAACTGGGGTTGCCTCTGTTTCTAGCGGTAGTACCACGTCCTTGACTAAGGCCATATCTGGTTCGATGGATGATTCCATGTCCTTGGCCAGGGCCACATCTGGTTCGGTAGGTGGTTCCGTGTCTTTATCCAATGCCACCTCTGTTTCTGTGGCTGGTGCCACATCCTTGGCCAGGACCATCTCTGATTCTCGAGATGGTGCCATGTTAGCAGCCTTCAGTCCCATCACCATTTCCATTGCTTTTGTTGGTGCTCTCTCTTCTGCTGATGCCATTTCTACCTCCTTAGCAGGCTCTAAGGGAAATAAATTGGGCATTTAGGATCCATCATTGTCTGCTCATAGCTCTTCATTCAAAACTAACTTTCTTAGGGCACGAGAGTATCTGGCTTTTGTGACCATAACATCCTAAACATAACTAAAAAGCTGTCCACTTAATGCATTTGTGCCTACTCTTCGACAGTCCTAATACTTAGAAGAATAGAATACTGGCAGAACAAACAGTGGAGGGGGAAAGGCAAAGGAGAGAAAAATACACAGGTCCAAAAAATCAACACAGGTACACAATTAGTGTCAGAAAGGGAAGCTGTGGGACGTCAAGAAAACCCCCCAGAGTTCTAAATCTGCCCTGAATTACAGAGGGATTGTCTTTGCCCATTGGCCCTAAGTGTTGTATTTCAACTACAACTTAATTCCTCCAGCTTTGAAATCAGTAATTTAAGTTTAAAAACATCTGTGACAGCTGTGAAAATTTTACCTAACTATACTGCTGCACAAGGCTCAAAAATGTCTGATGCTTTATATTGATTATTGATACTGTAACTATTAAGTGATAAACAGGGATCCTAATAATGTACCTGCTGTAGGCTGTGTAATGGCCTCAGGGGAAATGAAGGATTCTGAATGTGGAGGGTTTGGAGCTTCCACAGGCCACCCCTGAGGAACAACAGCTGCAGGAGCAAACGTGTCACAGGGAAACACACCTAATATTGAAACACAAATACATTTTTCAGACTCAGTCAACACTGGGGAAAAAGACATTTGATATTTAAAACCAGCTTTATATATTGCCATAAAGACATAGGCCAAAAGGACCAACGAGAAACAAAGCAAGAAAGTTTTAAAGTAAAAACCGCTGACATTCTCCAGGTTTTGGCTAATTGTTAGGCTGTTGCCCTGCTGATTGACATTGACTGGCCACCTTCTACAATGTTTTACAAAGATTCAAAAACACCAAAGAATAGGGAGGGTGGGAGGGAGACGCAAGAGGGAGGAGATATGGGGATATATGTATTTGTATAGCTGATTCACTTTGTTATAAAGCAGAAACTAACACACCATTGTAAAGCAATTATACTCCAATAAAGATATTAAAAAAATAAATAAATAAAAAATAGCAAAGGACGAGCTCTTGCTCCTACATCACAACCAACAGAACGCAACATACAGTAAGGGACAGTGAATCAATTTCCTCATCTGTACAGTGAGATTAACATACAACCCTTTCCAACATTAGAAGACACTTTTGTGAAAATGCTTGGTAAATTATTAAGAACTAGACAGATGCAAAAGCATTATTATTATGCTGCCCTCTGCCAGACCTAATATCACATGGGATTTAGTATCGCCTGGTCCTTGCCATCAAGATTATTACAATTTAGCTAGAGAGGCAAGATAGACATATATCAAAAAAGGTAAACTGTGTAGTATGGACTAAATGCTATAAGAATTTCAAAAGAACCATGAGATCAGCACAGTCACAGAAGGCTTCAGAGGAGAAGCAAGAGCAGGAAGAGAGGGGAGAGTAGTCAATTTCAAGGATGGAGAGCTCACTGAGCAAAGAAAAGAACGAGGATGCCAAGAGGACAAGAATGTTTCCGGGACTATGAGATTAGTCTGCTTCAAACAGATCTTGTACACCAGAGAGGGAAAATGGGATTAGAACAAACAGTAGAAGAAAAAATTCAGAAAACCAGAGAATTTAGAGAAAAAAAAAGTGTGTGGGGGGGAGCTGTCTTACGGTCTTAATCATAAAAATGAGACAATGAATACAGAACAGGGAGTCAGATGATCAGGTATATTCAGAATTAATTTTAAAGGAGAGCAGGAAGTCTCATAGGCGACTACTGAGGTGGTCTAGGTATGAAGTGATAGGGGCTTGCATGGGGTAAAGCAGAGGGAGCACAAAGGAAGAGAAGAAAGATGCTGTAAAGAAAGAAGTCAAGGCAACTAAGTGACTGCCTAGGTAATGAGCTGAAAAAACAGGAGTCAAAGCCAAAATCAAATCAGGAGACTAGATGGGTTGCATCAAAGTCAACTCATTTAACATCCTTCTTGCAAGAGATCATCAGGCCAAAGAAAAGCATAAGTGAAACATACAACTACTAGCCAGGATCTTTACAAATACAAAATTATAAGCATTATTTGAAGTGGGACTTACTGATGATGGGTACTGAAGGAAACCAGAACATGTTACCCCAAAATATGCCCCTTTGACATAAAAATTTTGAGCTGAAGGCAATTAAGCAAACAACAAATTGAGAAAAAGCTCCTCCTTTTCTGCCTAAAGGCAGGATATAAATTTTCCTTTCACTGGCAAGAGACACTTATCAGGCCAGAGAGGGCACCAAAGGAATATGCAAACAAACCTGACTCCATTAGTTCCCTCTCATACACTTACCTTCCCGAAGTATGACTCTTGGAAGTGTAAAACTGCTTTCCTTTATCCTGTCATTTCTCTACAAATTTAATATTCTTTGTTGAGGATGCTACACAAACTGAATTTCTTTCTTTTTTAAAATAAATTTATTTATTTTGTTTTTTTGTTTATATATTTTTGACTGTGTTGGGTCTTCGTTGCTGCACGCGGACTTTCTCTAGTTGCAGCGAGCAGGGGCTACTCTTTGTTGAGGTGCACTGGCTTTTCCTTGCGAAGCATGAGCTCTAGGCACATGGGCTTCGGTAGTTCTGGCACGCGGGCTCAGTAGTTGTGGCTCACAGGCTCTAGAGCGCAGGGTCAGTGATTGTGGTGCAAGGGCTTAGCTGCTCTGCAGCATGTGGGGTCTTCCCAGACCAGGGCTTGAACCCATGTCCCCTGCATTGGCAGGTGGATTCTCAACCACTGTGCCACCAGGGAAGTCCCAAACTGAATTTCTAAGCTACACCTTTGAGTTACTTTCCCCCCATGTGATGTATGTTGCATGCGTTAATAAACTATTTGTTTTTTTCTTATTAACCTGTCTATAGAGTCTCAACTGAACACCAAAGATGGGTAGAAGTAAAGTTCTGCCTGCCCTACAGTACCTTGGCCACATTCATGTTAAGTTATACAAAACCAGGAATGAGGAAACTACTAATTGATAACTAAGATCTGTTTAACGTTTAGTTTACCATGTACCAGAAACTATGCGAAGTACTTCTACATAAATTTTATTTCATCAACACCACATCTTTAAGGTAAGAACAAGTGGTGGCCCCATTTTATAAAGAAACCAAAGTTTAGGGAGGACATAACTTGAGGAAGGCCATGAACTAATAAAAATGTGGAGACAGAACCTGGCCCTAGGATATAGGATTCAAGATCCCATGAGAGGAGGTGAGCTGAACCTGAGCAGCCCAACTGTGACTCTGTGACTAATCGAGAAGGAGCCTTGTCAGAGCCAGAGCCCCTAAACATGACTTTGCCTAGTGATTCACTTCAAAGGTGATGGGTGAAAAGCCAAATTAATTGATGGAGTTAAGAAATAAACCCAGCTGGAGAAGTCATACCATAACTGTCTTTCAGGGGATCATTTTGTTCTGCAGATGCTGAAGCACTGGTTGTTCCACTGGGGAGAAAGAGCAAATCTTCCAGGCTGTCATCATGGTGCATCTTAAAGGGATCTGGAATAAAGAAGGAATTTAAAACTCATTCCCATTGAACACAACTAGAAAGATTATCATTCCTTATTATCCTCTGATGAATACTGATTAGCTACATGTGTGTCGTCAACAGTGAGTTAAATATGTTGAGATAATATGTGACTGAATGTGGTAGGGAATCAAATATTCATTAATTCATTTGTGACAAGTTAAAAATACATAATCTCATATTTGATTTAATTATCTAAATCAGACAGCCAACAAATACATAAAACTAAAACTACAACTAATGCTCAAGTCTATAATATTAGGAGGTGAGAGTACAAATATAATTAAACTTTCAATATGTATTTACAGAGCAGACATTCATTTTAGGTTATTAAAAAAAACACACACACACAGAACAAGTAAAAGAGACATTTTCACCTCCTGTGGAGAGCATGAAGAAAACTGCATTTCAAAAGCTGTCTGAATGAGACAAGGTGAACTGCTGGTACCTGGAAAGAATGAACTCTAGACTCAGGAGTTGGCATGAGTAAAGGCACTGAAAACATCAGGTAAACTCTGCACCTTCTTACATGAAAAAAGAGCAAAGCCATTTAGGCCAAGCAAGAATTCTGCTCTCCAAGGAGGCCATCTCGAAATGCAACACACATCTGAATTAGCCTGAAAGTTTATAAAAACACACTGCTGGGCCCTAAGAATCTGCATTTCTAACTAGTTTCTCAGGGAATGCTAATTCCCTTTAGGCACTTCCATTGTCAGAGGCAGCTGCACTGAAGTCCAGGCTTTAAGTGAATGTTCATTCCTGTGGCTCTGAGGCAGCTGCCCCTCCCTCTTCTAGTAAGGGATTTCAGGCTTAGGAGAGAGCACGGCACTGCAGAATATGAACGAGCAGAAAGGAAACTGAGAAACTGCTGGGGCTGGAGGAGGCCCAAGTGCTGCTGCTTCAGAACAGCAGAGGAGCTAGAATCTAGACAGATTAGAAAGCTTCATTCTCCCCAGTCTTAACTTGGTTTGGGGTACCTGCTGCTTGCTCTGCCTCTCACACTTCCGCTGAAGGAAAACAGGACACTTAAACCAGCAATGAGAATAACTGTTGTATGGTTCGCACATTAGGAGGGGAAGAATGCTAAATCACATGTAAAAATCAAAGATTTCTACAAAGTTCTGTCATTTATTCATTACTATTTTACTAGGTGCATATGATGTGGCAGACCCTGTGTGTTCTAAAAGCCCAAAGATGTATAAATCAGGGTTGAAAACATTTAGGAGATGGATATACTTTAGTTCAAGTCAAGGAAGGTCTTCACTTGAAAAATATTTAAGCTGAGCACTAAAGAACTGAGTGGTTGTGGGACAGAGGAAGACCTTTTCTTTCTCTACCTACATACGTTCCCTCTCTTAGTGATCTCATCCAGTCTCACAGTTTAAAATTCCATCTATAAGATGATGACACTCAAATTTGTATCTCCAGTCATCTCAACCTCTCCCTTTATTTCCTGACTTAGGTATCAAACTGCCAACACTTAATGTATAAAATAAAGCCAAAATGTAACCTGTTTCCCAAATCACTCCTCCTACAGTCTTCCCATCTCTGATGGCATTCCATCTTTTTGGTCCAAAACCCTGGAGTCAACCTTGGTTTCTCTCTTTCATACACCACATCCAAGTCGTCAGGAAATCCAGCTGACTTGACCTTGAAAATATCCCCCAGGGGGCTTCCCTGGTGGCGCAGTGGATAAGAATCTGCCTGCCAATGCAGGGGACACAGGTTCGAGCCTTGGTCCAGGAAGATCCTACATGCCGCGGAGCAACTAAGCCCGAGCGCCACAACTGCTGAGCCTGGGCTCTAGAGCCCACGAGCCACAACTACTGAGCCCGCATGCCACAACTACTGAAGCCTGAGCTCCGCAACGAGAAGCCACCACAATGAGAAGCCTGCACACCGCAACGAGGAGTAGCCCCCGCTCGCCGCAACTAGAGAAAGCCCGTGTGCGGCAACGAAGACCCAACACAGCCAAAAAATAAATAAATAAAATGAAAAAAAATGTCTCCCAGAATCTGTTTCTTCCCCACCTCCACTACAGTTTCTCACAAGGCTGCAGTGAAGGTACTGCCCAGAGCTGTGATCATTTGGAGACTTGACTGGGGCTGGAGAACCTGCCTACATGATGATGGCTTACTCACGTGGCTGTTAACTGGAGGCTTCTGTTCCTCCCCACGTGTGCCTCTCCACAGCAGCAGCTATCGCCAGGGTGAGTAAACCCAGTGTGACCAAGACAGAAACTGTAGTGTCTTTTGTAATCTAATCTTAGAAATGGCATACCATTATTTCTGCCATCTATTCTATTGGTCACATAGCCCAAGCATGGTACGATGTGGAAGGTGACTACACAAGGGTATGAATACTAGGAGGTGGGGATCACTGGAGCCATCGCCCTGAATTAGTAATTAAAAACTACTCACAAAGAAACGCCCTGGCTGAGATGGCTTCCCTGATGAAATCTACCAAATATTTAAAGAAGAATGAAAATCAATTCTTCACAAACACTTCCAAAAATATTAAAGAGAGGAGGATACTTCCCAACTCATTGTATGAGACTAATATAAAACTAGACAAAGACATCTCAAGAAAGGAAAACTACTGACCAGTATCTTTTCTGAACATGGATGCAAAAATCCTCAACAAATGTTTACATATGTGCCAGCATATAAAACTCATTATATACCATGACCAAATGGGATCCATCTCAGGAATGCAACATTGGTTTAACATCCAAAAATCAATTAATGGAATACATACATAACAAGAGAATTAAAAAAATAAAACCACATGATCATCAATAGATGCAGAAAAATCACTTGGCAAAACCCAATACCCTTTCATGATAAATCGAACACTCAACAAATTAGGAATAGAAGGCATTTTCCTTAATCTGATAAACGACATCAACAAAAACCGCAGCTAAGACCATGCTTAATGGTAAAAGACTGGATGCTTTCCCTAACTAAGACCAGGAACAAACAAGTAAGTCTGCTCTTGCCACTTCTATTTAACATTGTACTGAAGGTTCTAGTCAGGACAATTAAGCAAGGACAAGAAATAAAAGGCAGCCTGATTAGAAAGGAAGAAGTAAAACTTTATTGTAGAGGACATGATCTTATACGCAGAAAATCCTACGGAATCAACTAAAAAACTATTAGAACTAATGAGTTCAGCAAGGTTGGAAGATACAAGATCAACATACAAAAACCAATTCAGATTCAGAACAATCTGAAAATGAAAGAAAACAATTCCATTCATAAGAATAAAGAACAATAAAATATTAGGAATAAATTTTACAAAAGGGAGTATAAAACTTACACTCTGAAAACTACCAAAATATTGCTGAAAGAAGTAAGATATAAACACATTCTAAGTTTAAGGATTGGAAGACTTAATATTGTTGAGATGGCAAAACTCCCCAAATTGATCTACAGATTTAACACAATTCCTACCAAAAATCCCAGCTGATTTCTTTTTCTTTTAATTAATTTATTTATTTATTTATTTTTGGCTGCATTGGGTCTTTGTTGTCGCCTGCGGTTTTTCTCTAGTTGCGGCGAGTGAGGTCTACTCTTTGCAGCGGTGCACAGGCTTCTCATTGCGGTGGCTTCTCTTTTGCAGAGCACAGGCTTTAGGTGTGTGGGCTTCAGTAGTTGTGGCACGAGGGCTCAGTAGTTGTGGCTCGCGGGCTCCAGAGCGCAGGCTCAGAAGTTGTGGTGCACACGCTTAGTAGCTCCATGGCATGTGGGATCTTCCCAGACCAGGGATCGAACCCATGTCCCCTGAATTGCCAGACAGATTCTTAACCACTGCGCCACAGGGAAGTACCCCAGCTGATTTCTTTATAGAAATTCACAAGCTGACTCTAAAATTAATATGGAATTGCAAAGGATACAAAATAGCCAAAACAATCATCAAAAAGAAGACCAGGGCTTCCCTGGTGGCTCAGTGGTTGAGAATCCGCCTGCCGACGCAGGGGACACGGGTTCGTGCCCCAGTCAGGGAAGATCCCACGTGCCGCGGAGTGGCTGGGCCTGTGAGCCATGGCCGCTGAGCCTGCGCGTCCGGAGCCTGTGCTCTGCAACAGGAGAGGCCACAACAGTGAGAGGCCCGCATACCCCAAAAAAAAAAAAAGAAGACCAAAGTAGGTAGACTCATACTACTCAATTGCAAAACTTACCACAAAGCAACAGTAACCATGACAGTGTAGTACTGGCATAAGGACAGACATACAGAACAATGGAACAGAACGAAGAGCTGAGAAACAAAACTGTATATCTATGGTCAACAAATTTTCAACAAGGGTGCCAAGACAATTCAACGGCGAAAGAATAGACTTTTCAAAAAATGGAGCTGGGACAACTGGATATCCACATGAAGAACAATGAATCTGGACCCCTACACCTTTCACCATACACAAAAATTAACCCACAGTGGATCAAAGACCTCAATATAAGAGCTAAAACTATATAAAATTTTTAGAAGAAAACATAAGGATAAATCTTCATGACCTCAGATTTGGCGATGGAGTCTTAGATATGACACCAAACCTTGAGCAACAAAAGAAAAACTAGATAAAAGTGGACATCATCAAAATTTAAAACTGGGCTTCCCTGCTGGCACAGTGGTTGAGAATCCACCTGCTGATGCAGGGGACATGGGTTGGAGCCCTGGTCCAGGAGGATCCCACGTCCCGCGGAGCAGCTGAGCCCATGTGCCACAACTATTGAGCCCATGTGCCACACCTACTGAGGCCCATGCGCCTGGAGCCCATGCTCTGCAACGGGAGAAGCCACCACAATGAGAGGCCTGTGTACCACAGTGAGGCGCAGCCCCTGCTTGCCGCAGCTGGAGAAGGCCCATGTGCAGCAACAAAGACCCAACGCAGCCAAAAATAAATGAAATTAATTAATTAATTAATTATTAAAAACTTTTGTGCTCCACGGACACTACCAAGAAAATCAGAAGATAACCCACAAATTGGGAGAAAATAGTTGCAAATCATAAATCTGATAAGCGTCTAGTATGTGAAATATAAAGAATTCTTACAGCACAACAAAAAGATCAACCAATTAGAAAATTGTCAAAGGATCTGAATACACATTTCTCCAAGGAAGATATACAAATAGCCAATAAGCACATGAAAAGATAAAAAGATAATCAACATCATCAGCCATTAGGAAAATGCAAATCAAAATCACCACAAGGTACCATTTCACACCCATTAGGTTACTATAATTATTTAAAAAGGGAAAACAAGTGTTGTCAAGGATGTAGCGATTACAAACCTCATAGGTTACTGGTGGGAATATAAAATGTTGCAGTTGCTTTGGAAAACAGCTTGGCAATTCCACAAATGATTAAACAAAGTTACCATATGATCAGCAATTCCAATCCAGGTTACATTCCTTCATCTACACAAAATCTTGTACACGAATGCTTTAGAAAGCATTATTTACAATAGTTTGGGGAAAAAAAGGGGAGACCAACCCAAATGTCCATCAACTGATGAATAAACAAAATGCAGTGTATCCATACAAAATATTACATGCCCATTTAAAGAATGAAGTTCTAATCCATGCCAAAAAATGCATGTACCTTGAAAACACTGGGCCAAATGAAAAAAGCCAGTCACAAAAGACCACATATTAACATGATGATTCCATTCATACGAAATGTCCTGAATAGGTAAATTTATAGAGACAGAAAGTAGATTTAGTGGTTGCTTAGGGCTGGGGTGGATAAGGAGATGGGAGTGAAATCTAAGGAGTACTGAGTTTCTTTATGAGGTGACAAAAAATATTCTAAAATGGACTCTGGTGATGGCTGTACATATATGTAAATATACTAAAATCCACTCAATTGTACATTTTAAATGGGTGAATTGTATGGTATGTGAATTACATCTCATTAAAGCTTTCTTCAAAAATTACGTATATCTGGGACAGCTAATGACTGGAGAGTGGTACAGAACATCAAGTACTAAAACATCTGGAACCAGTTATGGGCACCTTTTAAGTTAGACAGCAAAAAAGAAACCATATATAAGTGGAAACAAATAACTTGAGCTCTCAACCTCATTAACTCTGACATGGAGGTATCAACTACTGCTTTGAGGTGCTTCTGCAGTCCATCCCTCCCACCACTTCCAACTCTAGGCAACTACAGATAGGCTTTTTTTTTGTCTCTATAAATTAGTTAGAATTTTATACAAATTGGGTATAAGTTTTAGTTTTCTTTTTTTTGTCAAATGAGGATAATATATACTTGGCAGAGTTAGGTAAGAAACGCAGATAATATGTATATTGAGGCTCTAGTACTGTGCCTGGCACAAAACAGGCATTTGACAAATGGTGCTATTAGTACTATAATAATTCCTTTTGGAAGAACTAAGGTTCTAAGGTACTGTTGATCATTTAGTCCTCAATGAATACGAATTTCAGCTTTTTACTCAAAACAGGTTTTGAAGGGGAGAAAACAAAGGGGTACCTGCCTCAGAAGAAGGGATAAATAGAAAGGAGAAAGGGTCAACTAAATGTTCAGGGGAAATAATTATACCTTGGTTGTGCTTTACAAGCTATATTTAGGCTGAAATGTTTTATCTCATTTACTGGTGGGAATATAAAATGTTGCAGTTGCTTTGGAAAACAGCTTAAATAGTGGTGATTGTGGCTTTTCCATGTTTATGTCATAGTTCACATTCAGCAGTCACAAGCAAGCCCTGCACTTACCAGTCTGGATAGGATTCACCACTTGCTCGGGTTCAAAGCAAAAGTTTGTATTTTCTGGCCAGTTCTGGCTGTTCTGATATCCCTGGTAGGCCATTTTCTCTTCAAGGAATTCAGTTGGAGACCCTTCAAATAGAAACAGGAAACAAAAGTTATAAGGTACCACTGTTGACATCTGATTATTTTTGGCTTTTGTAAATAATGCTGCTATGAACATTCAAGTACAGGTTTTTGTGTGGACATACGTTTTCAAGTCTATTGGGTATATATGCTCAGCAGTTGAACTGCTAGGTGATACAGCAATTCTATGTTTAACATTTTGAGGATCTGCCAAACTTTTCCATAAATGTATATAAATGGCTGTACCAGTTTATAATCTCACCAGTAATGTCTGACGGTTTCAATTTCTCCACATCTTCACCAACACCTGCTATTATCTTTTTTTATTTTAGCCATTCTAGATGTGGGTGTGAAGTGGTACCTCATCATGGTTTTGATTTGCATTTCCCTGATGACTAATGATGTTATGTATTATTTCATGTGCTTATCTAAGGTCACTTTTATGTTTTTCTTTCCCCAAAGAAAGGTTTATTCAAATAATTTACCCAATTTTAAATTAAGCTACTTGGTTTTTTTATTATTGAAATGTAAGATTCACTTTCTTGATGATGTCCTTGGAACACAAAAGTTTTTCATTTCAATGAAGTCCAGTTTATGTACTTTTTCGGTCATCTGTGCTTTCGGTGTCATATCTAAGAAACCACTGACTAATCTAAGGTTACAAAGATTTATGCCCATGTTTTCTTGTAAGAGTCTTATAGTTTTACCTCTTACATATACGTATATGATCCATTTTGGGTTAATTTTTTATATGGTGTTAGGTAGGGGTCTTAACTTCACTCCTTTGCATACAGCTATCCAGTTTTCCCAGCACCATTTCTTGAAAAGACTGTGCTTCCCCCATTAACTTATCTTGGCACCCTTGTTGAAAAATGTAAGAGTTTACATCTAGACTTTGACAGTTTCTTAAAATGTTAAACTTAGACTTATCACATGACCCAGTAATTCCACTCCTAGGTGTCTACCCGAGAGAAATGAAAACAAATATCTATACAAAGACAATATATGAATGTTCACAGCTATGTTATTCATAATAGCTAAAGACTGGAAACAAACCCAAAATTCATCAACTGATGAATGGGTAAACAAAATATGGTACATATATTGGAATACTGTTCAGCTGTAAACGGCAATGAAATACTGATAAACACCTCAACATAGATGGATGAACTTTACAAGCATTAATAAGCTAAGTGAGAAAAGCACGACATGAAAGGCTACATACTGTATGATTCTGTTTATATGAGTTTTCTAGAAAAGATGACTATAAAGATAAGAAGCAAATCATTGGTTGCCTAGACTGTAAATAGAGATGGGGATTGAGTGTACATGGACTCAAGATAACTTTAAGGGTGGTAAAAAAAATTTCTGAAAAATGGATTGTGGTGATGAATGCACAACTCTGTAAATTTACAATGGGTGAATTTTTATAGTATGTAAATTATATCTCAATAAAGTGGTTAAAAAAAAAATCTAGGACTCCCAGGTATGTGCCTTTAGCATATACTTCCCTTGTTGGGGGCTATGAATTTTTGTGGAGAAGGGTATGGAAGTGGGTGAGGAAAGAAGTTTTGAAAGGCTGAATAGCTACAGTATGAACACAGTTGAAGTTTCCCTACTGCCCTGCTTCTGGAAAAAAGACTAGGACTTTAAAAAGATGTACCTGGGAAAAGGAGAAGGCTCAACCACAGGGTACTTCAAAAAGATCCAGATACCTGCTGCTAATCTCAAGACAAACTTCGAGGGTAAGTGGCAGGACTGTCCCTCCTTTATTACTAGCTAACTCATCAGGTTGCCTTGAGGTACAAATTTTCCCCTTCATGATTGTCCTTTATTTTCATGTTTCATAGAATCACAAAAATCTGATTTCAACTACCTGAAGCATTTGAGGAAAGAGGAGGAAGAGGAATGAAACAAAATATTTATCCTAGATTACATTCCCTGAAATGTTCCTTCAGGAACACATCCCAAGAGAATGTTAGATATCTGAGGCCATTTTTTTTTCTCTAAACATTTTTACTTAAGCATAATAAATCTGTGGACTTTAAGTTATCTTCCATGCCTGCAAGAATGGAAGGGGGATAATATACTGTATTTTTACTTAAGATATTTCAATTATAATTGTATAATTAAAACTCTTCTTATATAAGTGAAATGCCTAATCTCTGAGAAACTTATCTGCTGAAGGTAGACTGCACATGACAAAGCCTCCCAAGTTCTACCTGTCAAAGACAGCCTCTAGCAGTTGTTCTTCTCTGAAGGTTCCAGGCCTCCAGACCTGCACACAACTAAGAAACTTCTGCTATAAGTTATAAGAGAAGGAAGCAAATCAATTCTTCAGGAGAGACTTTTTCTAAGATTCAGGCAGTATCTGTCATGAATATCTTTTTAAGACGGAAACTGATCATCATAATCATCTTTCATCAATAACAGCTTACAATGGATGTAGAGGATGTTCCACACATAGCTATTCCCTAGGTCAACTATCAATAAATGACAAAGGTACAGAAGTAAATACACCATTAGTTATGGTACAACCTGGGGACAGGGATTAGAGAAAAACTCAGCAATACAGCTCAGTTATGGCATCTACTACCAGAAGGGACTTAAAACATCCTGCAATGTGGTCCTGGCAAACTCATGTCTAAGACCTCCAGAGGTTAAAATGCAACCTCTCCATCCCCTCAAAGCACTCCCTCCCTCCCCCTTTTGATCTCTCCCCAGGATTCTTTCTCTTTTCTGTCCCTCCTTTGGCTTTAAGAGAGCCAACTTTAAATGGCATTTCAACACAAGGAAGTTCTCCAGAGCTGACTATAGTCCAACTGGGTTAACTGTGTGATTTAATATTCTGTAGTAGCTTATATGCACTCATCATTATTTCAGCAGATATACAGGGCCAGTTTGATATCTGCCACATTCTGATTTTTAGATGGTGCTGGAGAAAAAGTCGCAAGGCTGATGGAAACAAAAGACATAAAATCCTCAGGAGAGCAATAAGATAGCAAGAACGAATCAACTGGTGATTACACAGCTCTGAATTAACAGCACCAAGAAATATGAAATATTAAAAAAAAAAAAGAGATTGAGGTTCTTCACTTCAGTTTTCCCCAGGCAAACTTCCCACCTTTTCAATACTTTTTGTTTTTGTTTTGTTTTTTGCAGTACACGGGCCTTTCACTGTTGTGGCCTCTCCCGTTGTGGAGCACAGGCTCTGGATGCGCAGGCTCAGCGGCCATGGCTCACGGGCCCAGCCGCTCCGCGGCATGTGGGATCTTCCCGGACCTGGGCACGAACCCGTGTCCCCTGCATCGGCAGGCGGACTCTCAACCACTGTGCCACCAGGGAAGCCCTCAATACTTTTTGATCTCTTTCCTTATCTGCTGTACACTGCTGGTGTACATGATTTGGGTTATTTATAGGGAGTTCAAAAAAAGAAATAGAAAAACAAGAAGCACCAATAAGAATTATTTTACTCTGAATTATTAATTGACAGATAGATTTCTTATAAACAGTATTAGTGGTCATAATTTGCATATTACTAACTAAAAAAAACAAATCTGTGACTGCTTCTATTTCATGTCCTTGGCTCTTTCCAAATCCGTCCCCCATCCCCTGCCCCAGCGGCAACCTTAGAATTTTAGAGAAGAAGGCACCTAGGAGATCACCTAGTCCAAGCCCCTGAAGTTTAAACCATATCTCATTCAATTATCTATTTAAGCACCTGCTATGTGCCAGTCACTGTTCTAGGTATTAGTGATACAGCAGCAAACCAAATGGTGAAAAGTCCTGCTCTCACGGACACTGATCACTATCATCACCATTACACTGTACTTGGGCACTACGAAAACCGAGCAGCAAGTATTAGTCTAGCTGAGGGTTTAAGATATACCCAACAATGCAAATCTCTTCAAGCCTCAGTTTTCACATCTGGTACCTGCCTTACTTACTTCATAAGGCTGAGGGAGGATATGTGAAAGTGCTTAGAAAACTATGAAGAACATGATAGTCCCACAACTATAATGGGTCATATAGGATAAGTGTCTACAATAACACGTACTAAGTGTTGCTACCGGAGTTTAAAGGTCACATAATATGGTCATGGGATGATCTGGAATATTTTCCACAGGAGATTAGAATTTAACTGGATCTGGAAGGATAGTCAGGAGGATATAATTAAATGGAGCTGGGAGACTGAGAAAGAGGCAAAGTGGAGAAGATATCCAGCAGAGGAAAATATGAGTTAAGACCACGGGCAAGAACGGGAAAGTAAGGAGCACACCAATTTAGCTGGAACACACTTACTGGGGGCAGCAGTTCTCCATAGAGGGCAGCTAGAGAATAGCTAGGGTGTCAAAGGCCAAACAGAGTGGCATCCAAGAGTTGTCTGCCTGTATCCCATCTAAAGGGAACCACCGCAGTCCCTTCAAGGTGATCCTGGTATGGCTGTCCATCATGGTACTTTGCTTTCCTGGCCAAACAAGTATACTTGTAATTCAGGCAGACCCAAAGTCCTTTGGGGAAGTCTGATATACAGACATTTTAGAACTTGAGCCATAAGGCTACACTACACCTGGGCTGCCAGTAATCATTCTTCCCACCTTGAAAGAATCTGCCTGAGAATGAAGCCAAAGAGGGGGCAGGGACGACAGAGGGAGAGAAGGAAGAATGGAAAAGAGGGAGGAAGAGAGGTAGAGGAAGAGAGAAAAAAGGGGGAGGTGAGAAAAGCAAGAGAGAAGAAAGAGACTTTTGAGCCAAATATGTTATTCTAAAAGCTTTACATGTTAAAAAAAAAACAAAAAAACTAGCTGTAGGCAGCCAACAAAGATGAAAATGCAATGCCCAGTTCCTTTAATTGAGGAAAAGTCTAAAAAGTAAGAAATATGTATTTTGCCTAGAGCTGTCTAAAGGTTTCTTCACATGCTAGAAATCTAAATCAGAAAGAAATATATTAAAGAAAGAAAACTGGACTGCAAATCAGGAGATCTAGATTCCAGTCCTGGCTCTGT